ACATGAATTATTTCCTAAATGAGCATTGATTATTAAAACCAGCAGTACATGCTCAGTGCCTGTGGCTCAATTGGCTATGGCACCAGCCACATACAACTGAGCTGGTGGGTTCGAATCCAGCCTGAGCCTGCCAAACAACAATGATGGCAGCAACCAAAAAATAGTTGAGTGTTGTGGCAGGCACTTGTAGTCTCAGCTACTTGAGAGGCAGAGGCAGGAGAACTGCTTGAGCACAGGAGTTGGAGGTTGCCCTGAGCTGTGATGTCACGGCACCCAGGGTGAGAACTTGAGGCTCTGTCTCAAAAAAGAAAAAAAACCCGGCAGTACATTAATAATGACCAGTCTTCAAATCTGTCATATAAACACCTTCTCTACACTTTGTAACACTTCTCTACACTGTGTATGAGCTATTGATTGCAGTCCTGAGTGTAGTGTGTCTGTCCCTGAAGGACTGGTATGCTCAGCTCTCTGCTGTCCAGTGTCTATGGATTCCTGGCACTTCTTTCTCTGAGGACAGCCTGATTCAGGGGTCTATCCATCTGGAGCTCAGTTCTCCCTTTTTCATCTGGTTCCTCAGCCCCAGGTCTCAGCTCTCATATGCTCCCTGCAGGGACCCACTGTGGTATTAGTAATAGTGTTAAACACCCCATCATATGTCAGCAAATATTTATTCATAATATCAAGACAGTATCAACAAAACATTTCTACACAATAAAAATGATAAAGTAACTGATCTATGCTAAACTTGGAAATAAATTATAAAACTAATAAAATTCAGTCCTAATTAAAGCACCAATAATTTTTTTTTTCTGGAGAAACTTAGAAAAATGATTCTAAATTTTATCTGAGAGGACAAGGCATATATGAATTGACTAGGGGAGAAAAATGTTAAAAATTGACTTTGACCACTTTGGAACCAATGTGAAATATGGTGAACAACTGAACAGAAAAACAGGCTGAAAAACTAAAGAGTATCTGGAAATAAACATTCTTCAAAAAATGTATGACATGTATGTCAGTGCTGCATAGAAGTAAGACAATTAAAATAAGTGAGGAGGATAGATTTTACAAAATGTATGTGGAGAAAAAACAGTTGCTCCTTTATAGTAAGTATTCTTAAATGCACAATCTTTAGGCTAAGTGTCTGAAAACTTTAAGTACAAGAAATTACTACATGTCTTTAAGAAAACTTCTGTATAGCATTTGAATCTCTTCAAAACAGTTGCAGAACATTGCGTGGTCAGGGACTGACCCCACCGAAGGATTTTTTTGGTACATCTCTTCAAGCAGGACAATAGAAATAGAGAAACAAACAAGTGGTGGGGTCAGTCCTAGAAAAAGTACTACATACCTCATTGTTGAATATAATTACAGTCACCTTTAAAGTATTACCCTTGGCTGTCTGTTAACCATAGCGATATTCAGCAGTGAGGCATGCAGCACTTTTTCTAGGATGAGCTTGTGATCTTAATTGTCTAATCTCGTATCCATTCATATGTGATGGACACTCGCAGTTTTTCTGTATCCTAGCTGTTGTGTATAGTGCTGCAATGGACACAGATATGCAAGTATCTTTTTATCCCTATTATCTTTATAAGTACCCAGAAGTAGAATTGATGGATCACAAGGCAGCTCTATTTTTTAAGTTTTTAAGTTTTTAAAGGAAACTTCAGATGATTTTTAATAACAGCTGAATTATTTTATATTCCCACCAACAATACATAAGAGTTCCAATTTATCCACATCTTTACCAATTTTTCATTTTTTTTAATGCTTAGACTACTTTATGTGCTTCTGATGGAAGATTTTCTGTGTATTTGTCAGGGAATCAGAATATATAGCAAGCATCCAATAAGTATTAATTATTTCCCTTTTAAAATAACTGTTTATATTAAATAAATTTAGATTTTTTAGTTTTCTGACATTTTAATGTTCTTACTTTTTGTTAGTTGGCATAAATTCAGTGTAATGCTCCTATCTCACTTGTGTTCCATAAAGTTAAAAATGATACACATATATATGTTCACTTTTTAGAAGATTATCTAGTACATACTTTTCAATAAATATATATGGTAATACAGTGATTATGATGAGGATGTTGATGATGAAGATAGCAATCAACTTCCTATATTGATGCATATATGTTATTTACACTACAATTAATGGATTGGCAGTTGACCAAAACACCTCAACACCTCAGTGACCAAACACCTCAATGTACTTCTTGTGCAAATTGTGTTTACCAGTTATTTTCACTTTTCCAAGTTGATAAATTTTTACTTTTCTTTTAATTAGAAATTTTTATAATAAATTATTCTCTGGAGATCATAATTCTACTTGAAACCCTTTCTCCAGGGGCACAGCAGTAATGAACTCAGGCTTAACTCCTGTTTCTAAATTTCACTGATCTACAGATGTAATCACAGAAACTTCATGGTATTGATTGTCCTTACAAGGTAAGTGAAGAAGACACATCATTCCCACTTAAAGTCCTTATAAACTCTCCTGTAGATGTGAATCTATTCCCACTAATTTGTTTCCTAACAGGCTGTACAAAGAAAGAAGTAATTTACAGATGTGATTCTAACCATGGATGATACCCAAATCATACACTTACAAAGAAGGACATCTCTGAAACCATGTGCTTAAACATTCTTAAAAATTCTGAGCTGCACTTCGGCAGGTAAGTAGGGAACTTAAAATATGTTTTCTATTACAATCCACATTCGCTGCTCAGCGACATCCTCCTCATCACTGGTTTTCTCCAGCTATTTTTCCTTCTCCTTTCACTTATTGATAATCTTACGAAAAGTTTGGGATTGACTGACTTGATTTTTTTTTTTTTTTGAGACAGAGTCTAACCATATTGCCCTCAGTAGAGTGCAGTGGCATCATAGCTCTCGGCAATCTCCAACTTCTGGCTCAAGTGATCCTCTTGTCTCAGCCTCCCAAATAGCTGGTTGGGAGGCTGCGACGAGGCACAGCTGGTTTTAGAGATAGAGTCTTGCTCTTGCTCAGGCTTGTCTTGAACTCCTGACCTCCAGCAATCCACCCTTCTCAGCCTCCCAGAATGCTAAGATTACAGGTATGATCACTGGGCCAACAACTGAATAAATTTTTATTGTCCCCACTTAATTGTTAGCCTCTGTCATACATTGCTAGTGCCCTCAAGATGATCATCAGTTGCTCACATTTACACCACTATTTATCAGAACACAGGAGAAGCTCCTTCAAATTAATATGCTTGAGTCCAAAATCACTTTTTAATCTTTCAAGTTAATATGTTTTAGTCCAAAATCACTTTTTACTTCCCCTCCAGGTGGAGCCATCACTATTTCTTTTCTTTCAACATGATGATAGGAATGTACACTGATGGTGTTCCTTTACACGGTGTCATCATGTTAATGACTTTATTTTATTAAGATATTGAATTCATGTTTTTATAGAATCCCAGTTCAAACTCAAGTTTTGAAATAGAGATTCCTTATAAACTAAAATGTTTAATAGGCTCGGCGCCTGTGGCTCAAGCAGCTAAGGCGAGAGCCACATACACCTAAGGTGGCGGGTTCGAATCCCCAGCCCGGGCCCGCCAAACAACAATGATGGCTGCAACCAAAGATGGCCTGGCGTTGTGGCGGATGCCTGTACTCCCAGCTACTTGGGAGGCTGAGGCAGGAGACTCACTTGAGCCCAGGAGTTGGAGGTTGCTGTGAGCTGTGATGCTGTGGCACTCTACCCAGGAGGATAGCTTGAGGCTCCGTCTAAAAAAAAAAAATAAAAAAATAAAAAAAATAAAATGTTTAATATGTGTATCAGAAATTTATCTCTATGTTTACTTCCTCTTTATACAGCAAATACATGAAAACAGTGAATTAATTAATAGACTAATAAATACTTGGGACAGAAACCACAGAAAAATCATATCAGAGACCCAAGATTTTGTCTTAGTGTAGCACTAGCCCTCTATCATAAATTTTAACAAGGCTCTACAACACTTACCCATCACATCTTTTGAAAAATAACAATAAAAATACCCACTTATCTAAATTCAGCACTTCTAACACATGTATATGTTGCATTTTTATGTGTATTATAATTTGTGATTTGAAACAACTCCCTGTTCCAAACCTATATTCTCACCTTCAGTTGGTTAGCTATGTAGAGTAATGTAATGTACACACTCCAAAATGTCAGCTTAGTGAATAACAACTCTTTCTCTTAAATAGGGTTTTTGTTGTTTCTTGTACCTCTGGTCCTTGATTTCTACTATGAAGCAAACATTATTAGACTTTTGTAGCTTCTCTTCAGAAAAAGTCAAAATTAAGGAAAGTAGAACTTTTCTACTCATCTTTCTGAGAATTTGCTCTATGTGTCTCTATTTGAAGATGAATATAATCAGTTGTGATAAACAAAGTCATATGTTTGATTCTTTATCTTTTAAAAATATCTATTAAAATTTCATTCACTATGAATGCAATTTTAAAATTTCATTCATTTCATGATCCCATATGGAGATTACTTGAGACTGACTTTCTGTAGTGGCCAATTTGGCAATGTGGAGCCTGGAATCCATAAGTCAGGGGTCATAAGTTAATTATCACATAATCATGTGTAGTTTATTTTTTATTTCTGATTAGTAGGAGGGTACAGACAATTAGATTATGTTGCTTGCTTTGTTAGATAAAGCCCAAGTTGTAGTAGAGCCCTTCACCCAGAAAGTATATATTTTTCAAACAAATTTTCTTCTCAATAATAATGAAGTAGCTTAAAAGAACATAAATGTATCAACATAGAATTAGATTTCATTTCAACAATCTGCCAGCACTTTTAATAAATACCTTTACATCTGAATGGGTTAAGGACACTAATGTCTACTACAAAGGGTACAGCTAAGCATCTGTCCACATGACTTACGAACAGCTGAATCCACTGTGATATTTCTTACACTCAGGGGCTCTTTTTTTCTTTTTCTTTTTTGTTTTCTGGTTTACCATTAGTGTAAAAATATGGAATGCTTCATGAATTTTTGTGTCATCCTTGTGCAGGTGCCATACTAATCTTCTCTGTACCATTCCAGCTTTAGTATATGTGTTGCCAAAGTGAGCACCAGGGGCTCTTTCTTAAGGACCGTTGTTTTAAACTTACTGTGAGACTGATTCAGCTGTTATAAGTGAATCTCACAGCTGAGCACTTGTGTCTTGTGCATTCATCTCAGGAGCTGTTTATACACTATAAAAACAATCGTTTTTTTTTTTTTCATTATCATCTGTTCATAAAAAGAAAAGACAATTAACTGATATAAGTAAGGTGCTTCGAGGGTTAAAATGCAAGTAACAAAAGTAAATGTCTCTTTTTTATGCCAGGTGGAAGTAGGAACTTTATGGATCACAGAAATGAGACTCAAGTCACTGAGTTCATCCTACTAGGGTTTCAGAATGAGAAAGAAGTAGAAATGCTTCTTTTTTTCACATTCCTGCTCATGTACATGATATCTCTGCTTGGCAACACCATGATCATCCTTTTGGTGTGTTGTGACTACCGTCTACACTCACCTATGTATTTCTTTGTAGTCAACCTTTCCTTTCTTGAAGTCGCCATCACCTCCACAGTGGTGCCTAAGATGCTGACCAACATATTTTCCCTCACTAAAACAATATCCTTTGTGGGATGTCTCACACAGTCTTTTTTCTACTTCCTTCTGGGATCCACGGAATTTTTTATCCTGGCTGTCATGTCCTTCGATCGATATGTTGCCATCTGCAACCCACTGAAGTATGCTGTCATCATGAACAGACAGATGTGCATAATGTTGCTCCTGGGATCCTACGTGGGTGGATTTTTGTCAATTTTGGGATCATCGATCTTAACTGCTGCTCTGCCCTTTTGTGGGCCAAATGTAATCAATCACTTCTTCTGTGACAGTGCTCCTGTACTAAAGCTGGTCTGTGCAGATGTATCTCTGGTTGAGCTGACTGACTTTATTTCCTCTGCTGTGTTGCTCTTGGGCTCCTTGCTCTTGACAGGGGTGTCTTACATTTATATTATTATTACTATCCTTAGAATTCCCTCTGTCCAGGGACGACAGAAGGCTTTCTCTACCTGTGCTTCACACATCACTGTGGTTGCACTTTATTATGGGAGTTCCATTTTCATCTATGTTCGTCCCCAAAAGGGCAATGTGACGGATGTTAACAAATTCGCCACAGTGTTGAACACTATTGTGACACCAATGCTGAACCCTTTCATATATAGCCTTCGAAATGAGAAAGTGAAAGAATCTCTCAGCGATGCCTTTAATATATATGTAGGTAGGCTAACAGCTTTAAGATCTCAAAAATGATATCTTTACAAGAGTTGCTGTTCATTGCTGGAAGGAAAATTATTTTATTGGATAACTATATAAAAATTAATATTATCACATAAAGGAGAAACTTAGTAGAACATATATTATTTCCTAATCACTGTCCATGTTCACTTTTCATTCACAAGTTCTAAAAATACATGCAAATATTCATAATACATACATATTGACAGGCAGACAGGTATAAATGATATGTGATTAGTATCCCAATTTCCTTTATCTCTGGTCTTTTAAAATTAAATTCTTGTACAAATTGGTAATTTGAACTCAAACAAAGCCAGTACTGGATATTTCTGCTTTGAGGAGGTTCAAAACATTATTGTAAAATTTCATTTTTTTCTTTTAAAAAGTATTAATTTATCTTTTGTATTTGATATATGGAGTCCCATTACAATAAGATGTTTTTCTTTGTTTTAATTATTGTTATTCCACATGATCAGTACATCAGGAACTACAGATTTAAGAGACTTTCATATCTCAGTTATCTTATGTGAAAATGCATTCTGAATTCTAAGAAACACCACTTTTTTGTTTCAGAATATTAGAGGGTACACATTTTATTTACACTTTGTTTTTGTACAGATTGAGTCAAAGTTATACACATGGGTGTGTCCTTCACCCAGATGTAATGCACATGTGCACTGTACTCGATAGTTGTAAATTTACCCATCCTTGCCTCCCTCTTTCCCCAGGTTGATTTTCATTTAAATATATTTCCAAATGTGCTCTTAAGTGGTGATCAATTAGTTCCAATCTGGTATTGAGTCCATATGTTTCTCTATTCTTGTGATGTTTCACTTCAAAGAATGGTTTTCACTTCCCTTCAGGTTGTTCAGAAAGATACTAGTTTGAAAAAATTCTCAAGGTCTCTTAGGAAAATCTAAGTCAAAACCACAATGTATTATCATATAACTCCAATGAGAATGGCTCATATTAAAAAGTCTCAAAGCAACAGATACCGGTGTAGATGCACAGAGAAATGAACTCTTGTACTTTGTTGGTGGGACTGCAAACTAGTGTAACTTCTACGGAAAGGAGTATGGAGATACCTCAAAGAACTAAAAGTAGACCTACCATTTGATCCAGCAATCCCACTGCTGGGTGTCTACCCAAAAGAAAAAAAAAAGATAATTTTAGGAAAAGGACACCTTCACTCAAATGTTTATAGCACCATAATGCACAATTGCAAAGACATGAAAACAGCCCAAATGCCCACCCATACACAATTGGATTAATAAAATGTGATATATGCATACTATGGAGTACCTCTCAGTTATAAAAAGAATACAATAATATTTAACACACTTTGACTTCAACTTTAAAATATTGAATATAAATTACTCATACCATTAGTTATTTAAATTTTGACTTTGTGAACTGATTCACTCATGGGTCTATGTTTGCTATAACACTGTGTTCCTACTTCAAAGTCATACTATCTGATACAAAGGAATTTATTAGAACTCACAAGCCTCTACTGATTATGCAGAGGAGGAATCAATCAGTAACAGAAATATTCAAATTGGTTAACTCACATTAGTTTTTTAGAATTACAGGAAATTACTTTAGCTACTGAGTTTTCAACATTTTTTTTAATAAGAATTGTTTAAAGGCCAAATATAATGACTTGGGAATTTAAACATGACTTGGACTGCATTCTCCTTTTACTATTTGAAAGAAAGTTTCAAATATATTAATTAAATAAATTAGAAAATCACTCTAAAGAATCATAGTCACACAAGGAGGATAATACACAATTATTACTATTAATTACATCTTTCACAGTAGCCAAAATGTCTCTTGTAAAGAACAAGTAATTTCAAAATATTCTGTTAGAATAAGAACTGATATAGAAGGCAATTAAAATGCATAAATCATAAATATATTCTTCTCACGTAAAATATTTTATGACCATAAAAGTCTCAATGTCCTAAGCATAGTCTTAGCCTGAGCTTAAACAAAACAGATATAAAGAGCTACAGAGATAAATGGGATTGTTTTCTCTTTCCTTGTTGATTAGTTTGAGTTATTTGTAGATTGTGGTTATCAGTCCTTTGTAGCATGCAAAGGTCTTTTCCCATTTTGAAAGTTGTCTGTTTGTTTTAGTTGCTGTTCCCTTAGCTGTGCACAATCTTTTTAGCTTGATCATGTCCAACTTACTTATTTTTGGTGTTGCTGCAATTGGCAATAGAGTCCTCTTTATAAAAATCTTTACCTTTTTTTTGTATTAACCTGTTTGGAGTTGAAGAACATTCTCCTTACTAAAGTATCACAAAAATGGAAAAGCAAATATACAATGTACTTAATATTAATATGAAACTAGTAGATGAATAAACACATTCCCACAAAGACAAAAACACAATTAAAGTACGGGGAGGAGAAGGAAGGAGCTGGGAGAGACAAGGAAGGAGGGGAGATTGGTAAGTTCACATGTAGTTGGCACAATATAAGTGTATGCAACCCAAGATCTGGGTGAAGAAGAGCTCCACCACTTGGACTTGACCTAACAAATGCAAACAATTGTAACCTAATCATTTATACCCTCATATTAATTTTAAAAATGTATATTAAATAGTTTATAAACAATTTTAAATATTTTAAGAGCTTATAGTGGTGTGCATCTGATTTGATTCAGTTATTCCAAGTTTCTTTTCCATCTGACTTTCCTGATTTCACCCCATTTAATTCTTATATGCTCTAGCTCTCTAATTTTATAATCTTTACTCTCCTTTTAGAAAAAAAAAAATAATAGTGATCTATTCATTGTGTGCATCTCTTTTCAGCTTGCACCCCCTTGTGTCCCAGCAAGGTTTCTAGGTTCTATCTGTAGCCCATTTATCATATTTAAAACACTGCTACCCAGAAGACAGTTGGAATGTTCATTCATAGAATGTGATTGGTTTCAATTTTTATTTTTCTATATTTTCATTAATAAAAATTACAAATGTAATTAGTAATTGTATGGGATTGAACATGAAATCTGAAGAAAAATAGCTGTACAGCAGTGAATCAGCTTTCTGATCAGAAGAGGTAGCTCTGAAGGTAAAGCGGAGTCCTGGCAACAAATTGCTTTCCTTCTTTTTTATCATCAGCTTCAGATAAAGTAGACCTTCTTCACTTTCTCCGGATGTTAGGTGCTAAACCTCCATGGAACTCTACATTAAATAGTGCAATGTGTGTGTGTGTGTGTTTTAACATTTATCCTGATTGCAATTGGTTGGTTAATTTTATTTTACATAATAGAGAATTTACAGAATAAAACATTTTTGAACCTACAGTGCCAGTTTAGCTTATTTTAGTTAGTTTAGCTGAGAGAGAGAGCAAACACATATTCATATAATTTCTAGTATAATATATTGTCATAATTATTCTATTATTGTGAATTTCTTACTGTGCTAGTTTATAAATTAAGCCTTATCTTTGATATGTATATGTAGAAAAAAAACATAGCACATACAGGGTTTAGTACTATTTGTGCTTTCAGGCACCAACACTCCAGAAATAATTTTCACTTGTCAAAAGTAAAGATTTTAGCCATTTTGATTTCCCTGAAACATTCAAATAAAACTCAAAAAAATGTACCAAGATAAAATCCTTATGTACTGTTTTAAGTATCAAGATGAGTTCCACTGTTTGTAAATAGAATAAAAGAATTTTATACATGAAAAAGATACTGCATTTTATGTAAAGATGATGATAATGAAGCAAATAAAGTTCTATCTGTCCAACATCTAAAATTTCAAAAG